TCTGAATTTGGGGATGTGGTATTAAAGTTTCCAACAGAAATTCAGATTCTAAAATTATTTTATTGACTAAGGTAAATAAAAGAATTTCGGAATGTGAAAAACTTAAAACTGTCTTTATATTAGATGCTCCAAGCACAACTGGAATATAATGTGTATTACACTACTATTTCTTTCTTCAACATATGCTTTAACAAGACATCTAACTGCTATCCCTCTTTCTGGTCCACTTCTGTTTTGTATGGCTATCCAGACACTTACACAGATAATTTATTTCTTAAGGTTAAATATCTTTCAGAACAAGGCAAGCACCTTAAGGTTGATGTTAAGACTCAGTCTCCTTCTGTGCTGAGAACCACCATTACAGACTTTCCAAAGCCCAGACAAGATAGGCAAAAGATGAACAGAGGGATTTAAAATACTTTTAGCAATACATAATCTATTATTCCTAAGCCTATATCAACTGATCCATATGTTAGTAGGAATTTCAAACACAGAATATTTGGAAAGAAAAGGAAGAATGACAAGACCCCAAAAGGAAACTGGAATTGCATAGGAAACAAGTGGGTTTAGAAAACATATAAATCTTGGACAAAATCTTGTGGAGGCTATTTCCAATGTCTTACCCATGATAGTAGACTAGATTCTAATGTAGCCCTTCAAGTAAAGAAAGGACAATCCATTGGGGATTTTGGGGATGATATTCTTACCATCTTTAGACAGCATCTATTAGTAAATCCTAAAGTAGATGTGATTTTGCCTCTCTCTCTCTCCACTTTTTGAAAATACACTTTAGCCAGCAAGAAGGAGTTTAATATGCAAGCAAAAACTAAATAAGAAAATGGCCCAAGAAAATATCATGGAATATTTCTCAAGAATAAACTAATGGTTTCACACACAAAATAATGAAATTTCCACCTTCTATTCATCAAGACTGAGAAAAATAAACCTATTGATTAAAATATTAAATACCCCTTAAATATGATAAACAGAAAAGACATTGTAAAAAGCAACTGATTTGTACTAGCTAAAAACTGAAAGAAATATAAATGGGTAATAACTGAAGCAGCTGTCAAGGTGATTTTAGTTTATATTTTCCCATTATATTATTAAACACAAAAGGAGATATTTCTCTAAATATTTATGTACAAACTTGAATTTTTTATTCATCCAGTAGGTATAGCATAATGTACAAACCTTGCCACCTTTGTACAACCTCTCCTTCAGACTCAACAGATTTCCTTTATGACACTACATCTGCTACTATAAAATGTATATATATGTGAAGTAAATGGAAATTCAAAATTAAATGATCTTCTAAAGAAAGCTTTTCTTAATCCTTGAAGATTCCCTTTGTCATAATAAGATTATACCCATTTTGCCCATTGAATTACTAGTATCTTTGTTTTTAAATTAATCTAAAATTAACTAATAGAAAAGATCTTTAGGAAAAGTAGCATGGCTCAATGATCTCTTTGAAAACATGAACTCTTTTAAAACACAATGATTTCTTTTAAACCACAAATTAGCAACATTATCTGATCCTCTTGAAATTGCTTGCTCAAACAATTCCAATTGCTGTTACTTGCGGTTTCTATGTCCACAAGGTTGACATCCTCTTGATGATGTGAACTTTTTTTTTCTTATTAGCTTGTCTATTTCCCACAATTTGAATTCTATCTTAATTCAAACAGAGAAGGGGAATTACTGCAGAGGGACCATGTCATATTCTGTTAATCATCAATAGGACAGACTGTTTTTCTTTTGCAAGCTCCCCAACAATCTCTATAAGAAGTCTGTGTCTTATGAAAAAAGGAGAAAAAATGCTTTGTATACAGTTTGAACACCAGTATACCATCAAGTTTCAGAATAGTGATCCTTAGGTTCATGTCTTTTTGCTGGAAGACAAAAAGTTTCAACCTCTTACACTTTTAAAGTGCCTTACCACTGGAAGATTTACAACTAACCATTCTTAGGAATGCTTCAGAAACAGATCATCTTTAGAGAAGGCAATTTCCACCAAATATATTGGAACAAGAACAATGAATACAAGAGATGGATAAGTTCTATCCAAAACTTTTCAACAAGAGCTAGATGACTACAGCCATGGTTTGACATGCCTTAATCTTCACTACATATTTTTTATTCTTTATATTTCTAGCTATGTTCTTTCTTCTTTGATGCTTTAATATTCTAAAAGTTGTTATTTCTTCACAATTATGTATGAGGTCCTGTCCTTAATATTGCTTTTGCAACCTTAGTTACTTCTTGATATGAGTCCAATATCTAGCCGTAATTTGTTCATAATTTGCCTAAAACATACAAATAGACCAACTAGTAGCTTTGTATAGATTTTATTCTGTATGCCAACAACTCCTTTTAGTATTGATCTTTTATGGTAACAGGTTTGGTTTCATCAGTAATGGACTGACAGAGATTGGACTCAGTAATGGACTGACAGATAGTAAGGGACACTGAAAGACATTTTATCTGGCTGATAGAAGAAGTCAGTTAATAAATCTAAAATCACATATTATATTCCACTTAGTAAAAGAAGTTTCTGACTTAACTAGAACAACAGCCAAGGCCAACTTGTAGGAGCTAGAGTCTGCAACCAGACTTTCTAAAAGACAAATCTCATAAAGGCAACATAAACTAGATGGTATGTTTTCAAATCCTGTCTCATATTTATAGGACTTATTGTGCTGGTGAATCTTATGATTCTGTGTTATATAAACTATTCCTCTATCTAATGATGTCTTCACTTACTTTTTTTTCATGTAACTACATTCAATGGTACCAAAATGGTACAATGGTATAATATTTAACAACTCCATAGTGTTATTTTGGCCGACTGACTTTTGGTTACTAATTACTATCAGCAAACTGGAAAGGAACTTCTTATCTTTGTAAATTGATGATCATCTTCAACATACTTCCCAATTCTCTGGATCCATTCTGGTTAGTTATTTCTGTTGCCTGGAAAAAGTTATTGCTACATAACTTGATGAAGGAGGAAAACTGAAACATATTTGGGATACAAAACCTTGTTCATTTCAGGGGAATTGTGTATAAATATCTTCAGTCCTCAAATGTCTGTTCTTTAAAACAAGAAAGTAGAAAAACATTCTACCTACAATGATTTATAATGGAATCAAATTTAAGCTAAATATGGTGATAAGATCAATCTATTTCTCATTGGAGAAATTTGAGTAGTTCAAAACTTAAGAGTGGCTCAAACTAGAGGAACCCTAAACATAATATTGGTCTCTAAAGAAAGTGCATGTACTATTTTATGGGAAGAATATTATATTTAAATTTATACACAATTTTTTAGGATACTGCATATTATTAATGCAATCTGGGATGCAAGTAGTGAAACCATTTCATTTAATCACTTGATAAATAATATCTTTCTTTTCTGTGAGCTCTACAGATAAGGAATGGTATCTGTTCTCTGTACAGTTGTTCTCTTATCAAATGCTCCAACAAAAGATCACCCAATGACAATAGGGAAATCTGATGTACATAGTGGTTGAAATTACCACCATTAAAAATATAATAGACAGTTATAATTCTTCAAAGAGGAGTATAGATCTGGAATTGTAAAATCCCCAGATGATCATTGTGTATCTGAGTAGTGAGAGCACCCGTGCCAACATTTGTTAGTTATGAAACACTTGTCAGGAAGGGTAAGGACTATACACAAATTAATAATTACACTGTTGGCTTCAGGAAATTCCTGGAGATCAAATTATCTTAGATAATAGTCTGCTTACCTGAAGAAACAGCTTACTTATCTAACAATCATTTATTAAGATTTACTTCAAGATGTTCACCTCACTATGCTAACCAATCCTAAACATTTATGCAGAGTGCACTGTCTAATCTAAGCCAATTTGTCACCTTGTTTAACATACCTTAAACCACTTGAGCCTAAACCTCAAAACCTTGTAATTGTCTCTCATTTTTGCTTTTCCCTTCTGACAGACTACTTAAATTCCATTAAGATAGTGTTCTCTGTTATGACAATGATTTCTAACAAATGTAATTTATTGAATTAACAAGTTGTCTAATGATATTTGGGGGAGTTCAACTGTCACATCATTTTATAATGGAAAGGGGGAAAAATAAACATTGGGATAAAAGACCTTGGTTAGATTCATTACTCACTCTAGTCAGCTGAGACATGTAAAACAAGTGCCTAATGTTTTCATGCAATATTTTTGTGGGTGAATTTAGAATAATATTTTTTTCTTCCTGCATCACAAAGTTCTTAAGAAAATGGAATTTAATGACAGAATTAAAATATATTTGTGAATATTGAATTATTATACAAATATGAGACTTTGCTTAGTAGTACTATAAAGTATGCATAAAATTGACCATCTAGGTTAGCACACTTTTGAGAGTGAAGGTGGCACTATTTGCATATGTTATAAGACACACATCATAAAAGGGAAATATTCCAGGCAAAGTCATATGAATCATTACTCAATTATTAGTGTAAATTCAAGTACTTCTTTTATTCAAGCATATTCAAGTATTGCTCTTAGTTACTAATGCCACTACCACTACCAACAGAAACAAAAGTATTCTTTGGGGAGACCCTAAGGGAAACAATATCTGCCTAAAGTTTAGGGCCACAAAATGGATTCAAATAAAACACCAAGAAGATTGAAATATGATTTTGATGATTTATGCCTCCTGACATATCACGTTGTTATTGTTGTTGTTTATTTAGTATTAGGAACAAGTGAATCAAATAGGTATATAAATAAAATGCAGCTAACATTTCCCAGTGGTATTTAGTTGTGTTCTGCTTCTTCCCTAAACAAAGTCAAGACATAGCTAACTGTAGTTAAGTACTCAAGTCAGTATGAAAAAAAATGGGCAGTGAGAAAATAAAAGATGTGCTGTAAATGATTTACATACTAGATAGCAGGACACTGACATACAAACTTTTCACTTTATTTTGTTTTCATTATTTCAAGATGCATAATTTAAAAATTGATTTCACTTTGTCACATACCAAGATACTTAATCTTAAAAATGACATTGCTGAACAGTGTCATATTTCAGGTGGAAAATGAAACCAGGCAACTGCAAAATAACACACATCATGAAAATGTTAATCACAAAATGACTTCCAAACTCTGGAATTTAAAGTTAATGCAAATAATGTAAGAACTAAAATATTTTATTACATTCTGATCCTTTTTATAACTTTATTATTTTAAATACCATGAGATGACTTATATTTGTCAACAATTTTGCTTATGTTTTAATTGTAAACTTAGAATTTAAGTTGGATGGTAAAAATAATTATACAGAATAAAAAGTCAAGTGTCTGAATGCTTTTTAGCACATTATTTTTTATTTCACAATGTTTTTTCAATATTGACAAATTAGCAATGAAGTAAACTGAAGAACATGAGATTTTTTAAATTAATTGTAAATACTATTTAAATAAAGGCAAAATACATTATAATTAGGAAAACAAATACCTTCTGGAAAGACAGAGTACAATTAATAAAAACATTTTATGATATTAAATGTAATAAACATGAAAACAGCTTAGAATAAATACCCTAAAAAATTTTCCAAGATTAGTAGCATATAAACTGAAAATAACCACTAAATAAAACATTGTAAAAATCTTTTTAAAAAGATAACAAAGAAATCTTTTTAGATTAGAATCTATGTGTCTGTGTGTGTGTGAGAGAGAGAGAGAGAGAGAAAGAGAGAGTGAGAAAATGAGAGAGAAAGGAAAAGAGAGAGACAGAGAGAGAAGCAACCCAAGAAGTCAGAAGAAATGGCCAAAATGTGATAAATTCTAAATAATATAATAAGAAATAAGGTATTTTAGTATATTAATAAGCATTTCTGTTGTGTAGTGGAATTACTAAAAATTAAACATATTCTTCTTAGACTGGAATATATTATAAAATTGATTTCTCTCCAAAATATTATTTGAATATATTTTACTGCTTAACTCTCACTTTCTGAATCAAAGTGGAGTTAAATATAGATTTTACATGTTATTTGAATTTTAGAGTATGCATTTATCTGATGAATGAAAACAAATTTTATTACTACTCTTGTTTCTCTCTTCAAAGAACAAAATACCAATTCTTCATTCTTTTATTTATTAATTTCAAAGTCTATATGAAATAATTATGTAGTAAAAATTATGTTTACTTAGATTTTCAATTGAACAATAAGCAATGGTACTTTGGATGCTTACAGATTTTTAAAATTTATTTAATCCCCAAGAGAATATTGACACGCCTTAGTGCAACTCTCAATTATTTGTGAAGAAGCATTTCACATTCCCTGTGTTTGATTGACTGATACGCGTTTTAGAGAAATTGTAAACTGCATTATTATATTTTACTCTAACAATGATAGTTATATTATTTTTTATATGAAAACCAGATTCCAGATGAGAAAGAACCATTTCATTTTTAACATGTGATCAGAAATAAGTAAAAATGCAATTTTGCAATACATTGGAAAATGTGCCATTATGAAAATTTCCCTGGAGAATTATAGTTGAAAACATATTGGTAAATAATTCATACTTCCTAACTTTATAGTATTAAAAATTCATTCATAAAACAGATAAAACAGTAATAAAATGTGATTTTTTTTTGCTGTTTCTAAGTTGGATTTGAAAATGAACTTTCTTAAGAATGCAAATAAGCATTTTTCTCTGTGAGTTATTTTAAAATAACAGAAAAAACCTGAATTTAAAATGTTAATATTTGATAAAATAAATATAAATTCATTATTTCTCAAAATAAATCATGAGTTTAGAAAGAATAAAATATTTCCTTTTTTTTTTTTTAACTGAAATGTAAAAAGAAGGTAGCTTCCAAAGAAACTGCTTCAAAGAGAATAAGCATGAAAGGGTGTAGGGCACTGGGAGCTACTCAGGAGCATTCACAGAAAATCGGAGAACAGAAACTACAACAAAGTTTCAAGTACATTGGCATGTGCTTTTACAAAAGATGATACTTATAAGTGTGAGTTAGAAAAAAAGGACTCTTACAACATTTGGGGGAAAGGTACTGGTTGTCATTTGCCTGTAATTTGCATTTAACTCAGTGCCAAGTGGAACTTTCCACATGGGGGCCAGGGAAAATTGTTATGAGAACATGGAAATTCAAGATAGTTCAAGAAAATACAGCCTTTCATATTTGATTATGTAAGAATTCATGACTGTCTTTAAATAAACTTGACAATTATCTTTCCTTGTATAGTACAAAATCTCATACCTTATTCAGACATGAACAATTTTAAACTTTAATTGTGATATTTAGCTTGAACTCAAAGTTTTATGCTATAATTACTTATTGTTAAGTCTAATACATTATTATTGCTATTCTTATTTTCCTTACAGAAGCTACTAATCTCTATGAAAGATCTCAATGATAAATAAAATAATCTAATTTAATAATTCCATTATAACATAATTTATAATTGTTGACATATTCAGAAATGTTGTACAGAGGAAAAATGCTCACATTTATTTTTTCACTCTGTATATGCTCATAATGTGGTTTTCCATTTTGACTCACTATTCTAAAAATTCATTGTGTAGCAATATTTCACAATATTTTGTTAAGAATTCTTTAAGTATGTTTTATGTGCTAATTCAGTTCTCACCAGTACCAAGAGCCCAATTGTGTAGACATTTTGAGTAGACATTAATCAGTAGTGGCTTCCTGAACAATGATATCTATTTACATTATCATTTCTAACACAACACATTTAAGTCCCCTTGAATTATACTTCAAGCTTTCTCTACTGGAGCCATGACTGTTTTCTTCTACTTGGTGTTTGCTGCTATGTACATTTGCTGCCTGCAGGTTAATGAAACTACTCTTTCTCTGTGCTGATGAGAACGTAATTTATATGTGAGAAAAAATTCTCATCCATCAAAAACTGAATGCCTATACATCTACATATTTAATTACCAAATTGATTAAGCACGTGTTTTTAGTAATTATTTTGTGCTCACCACTTTACTGTAAAAATTAAGGCCATGGAGGCCAAGGGCAAAGTAATACACGGAAATCAAATAGCTATACAATAATTTAATGATTCTGATTATATTTGTCTTCTTTGGACAAGCAGAGGAACTGGCTGGATGAGGGGACTCAGGAAGATTGTCACCTCTGTCTTCCTAGTAGACTCACTCCCTTATTGGCTTTGACAAAGCAAGTTGCAATGTTGCAGAGGCACACGAAAGAGTAGCAAAATATAACACCTCAAACTCTGCTACTTTGGCATAAGGACTATATTGAGTTGAAGACAATTGAGAAGCAGATAAAAGAAATTTATCTGCTCTTCCCCATTTGCCTAAAACCAGTAAATAAATTTACAAAGGTATGCCTCCTCTGCTTTCTACCAGGAAGGACAAAGTTTGATCACGGAAGACACCTTTAAACTCCTATCAGCAGAGACAGCACCAAGGAGGCTTGATCTACAGGAACTCCTCCACCTCATTTAACAGCCATAAGCTTCCTCCTTATTTGTGATAATTGCTGATATTAGAAATTTGAAGTAAAGAGAAATTAAGTCAAATTATGAAAGGCACAGAACTAGTAAGTTGCAAAGCTAAGATCTGAACTCAATCAGATGTGTCCCAGACACCATATGCTGCCTCTCTGTGGGGGTGACAGAAACTGCTGCAGTGATACAGTCCATCCTATTTAAGAGAATGCCCATCAGAAAAGTATCCTTTCAACTTCTGACTTCCTGGCTTCATACCTATTCCTTTGTCCCCCTCTTTGTGACAGTATTAGTGATGTCCCACCTCTTACCTCTACTTCTTTTCTCAATTCTGTCTACTTTCACTCTATGCATTTCTCTTTCTTGAGTCACCAAGCTGCTTCTCTCTTCCTGTCTCTTCTCATTAGGATTTAAAGGTTAATTATTTGAAATTCATGCAAAATTATTTTTACTTGTGGTGTTGTGGGTAGGTAATAATTCATTTATCTTCTGCCACCTATGCTCATTTCTTTCACGGGGTCATATTCTCAGGTGATGAAATGAAACAGATAGGAATATGAATTAAAAGGACTGGTGCCTTGGCTTTCTAGCTTACCTTCAGTGTGTTTGCCGACATACACAAAGTTTGCTGACATACCACAGTTTGCTGGCCTATCTATCTGAAGATAAGAAAAATAGGAAGAATATTTGAATTTAGAGGCAAGTGGAATGGGCCACAGGCAGCTTGCTAGGTTTAATAATGCTATAGGCTACCTAGGCCTGATTCATGCTAAAATAAAGGAACTTCACATGGGATTCAGCTTAGTTCAAACTGGATAAGGTGCAAAAACATCATAAATATGGCATGCTGTTGCCTTATCTTTTTGTCATTGTTGTTATTATTGTTCATAAATCTTCCCATGATAACAGTTTGACAATCTAAATTCAAATACTAAATCTACTGCTTATAAGCAAGGTGGCCATGAGAAAATTTCATGTTTTTTACTACAATTTCCATATCCTATAAATTATTATTTACTTATTTAACCTACCTCGTAGAATTTAGATGACAAAATGCATGTGAGAGAGTCTGACTCAAACCAAGAACTAAATATCAAAACCCACAAATGCAGTGTCAATGTGAAATTTGATTTAAAGCTAGATTACTTTAATACAGTTGAGTTGTACCAATTATTGTGTTCTGGTTTGATTCCTGACAAGGAAATAAAGCTGGTAAAGTAAATTTTAGAAAATATTTTCTAAAAATCAATAATGATTTGTAAAGAAAATTAATAACTTATAATGAATATAATAAATTACTTGAAATAAGTGTTAAACTAATTACAGTATATTATAATAGCTGCTCTGAAAGTTGAACATAAATTGAAACACTACTGATACTATCTACTACTGTAAACAAATCATTAGGGGACATATTCACATGTCAAGCTTACTTTTACTGAGATTATTTTCATGTTGTTATGACAAGTATACAATCTTTGTAGAGAATCAGACAATTTTGGTGACTAGATTAACAAAATTATTTTATAAATGTATCTATAGTTCATACATACAACATTTATTTCTATGATGATTTGATAATCTGTGTTATATTCTTACTCCTGATCTAGGTATAGTTTCTCCCACATTCAAACTTGAAAAAAGAATTACAGACAAGAAAGCCAGAGTGCTAGCAATATATCATATTTGGCGTCCCTATTTTAATGATTGATCATAACAAAAGGTGTATTACAAACTCATACCTGAACCTATACAGGAATTACACCTAATTGAGAACCATCCTCCTACATCCACTCATTGTAGAAAATGACAATTTGTTCTAGGAGCCCATTCAAAGGATGCTGTTCAGCTATCACTCCAATGTATCCAGCAACTATTTCACTGTTGCTGACTGTAACTGCTTCAAGTATCACCTTGGGGGTCTATGTCTCTCTTTAAACTTTGTCACATTCATTTAACTTTATAAGGCCTCCGTTTCTTTACTGGTAAAATTAAGATAATGATTGTAGTACTTCATTGGGTTATTAATAAAATCCAATCACCTAATATATGAAGTGTTTGGCATAATGCCTGGCATAAAGCAAGAAATTAAATAACAGTAATTTTATTCAGGACACACACAAGCATCACTCTCAATTAACTGAAGTATCCCTTCTATTTCTATAACATAGAAAACAAACACATTTCCTGTGTGTTGAACAACTTCTTACACAATGATTAATGAATAGAATCCAGCAATGGAATGAAGTGAGGAGAGAAAACCTAGAGTGGTGTGCTGAGAATGAGTACTGACAAAATATCCCTTGGTTAGAATTATAAACAAATAATAAATTTAAAATAAAACTATCTCTTCTAGAGAGACAACATTGATACCTTTTCACATTTTAGGTTTAATTTTAATCCTTTATGTCTTAACACTATGTTGGCTTTAAAAAAAAAAAAAAACTTCATGAAATATCTTAAAACAAAGACCAGAAAAATGCCAACCACGCAGCTATGGCAGTACAGTTTGCTTTGAAGTTTGAATGCACCCCACATATATAAGTCTAATTTTTATTTAAGTTATAAAAATCTTTAAGATTTTTTGGGATAAGTTTTGTTTAATTTCACATCGTGTAGTGAGTTCCTAATCTATCAGAGATATGTACAGTGAGTCTTTTTAGCCAAAAATAAACATATAAATAAAATTAAACTCTCTAATGTTTAGCGATGACAAGCAGAGCACTGGATAAGAAACACTGGTGGCCTGCAATAGCTTTATACTTGCTTGGTACAAGGAATAAAAATAAATAATTTTTGTGAGACTTATCCTCAGGCAAAGGTTTATTATCTCAGTGAGCAAATTAAAAATTATTATAAAGGTATAATCTCTGATTATATATATATACCTTGCTGTTTAAATACAAACCAACACACTTTGTATATTGTTTTAAACCATATTTTATCATAAATTGAATATTTTATTAATTGTAGATCAAATGACTGCCTAAAGAGATAAAGATTACACAATTTATCACGATTAATGATTCATAATTTTATTTCAATTGTATGGTTTGTGAGAACTTTTATTCTTTTCTTTTACTGTGAATCTTTAAACTCCTAAATTAATATGCATATGTAACTTCAAGTTAAAAACTACAGATATACATATATAAGACATATAAAAAATAAAACTCAGATCTCTTCCCCACATATACACACATTCTAGTAATCTTTGAATTAAACCAAGTGAAGAATTTGGTATCAGTCCTTTCTTCACCAACTTTCTGATGCTGAGATCTACACTTTGTATCACTTCTAAAAGCACTTGCACTGTCAGGTTTTTATTAATATTTCACTTGCCACTCAGAACTTAAATAAATTAATAAAATTTGATAAACCTTGAAATCATGGCATAAATGTTGTGGTGCATATTGACCTTCTATTCTGTTTTTTTCAAGACAAGCTCAGGAAGCTTATGTAATAGCAGGGGCGAGAAGTACCACCAAGTCTGATGGAATTCTACATTCCAAAAGCTCCTAATAAATAAATACCCCAGAAAAGGAGTACTGCTATTCTCCAGCGAAGACTACCTTTCATGAGATAATGTTTGCAGTATGGTAAGTAAAGGAAAGAAGATTCTAGTGCACTCAGTTCACTTTTTCTAATTAGGACCATGCCAGTAAGCTAAGCAACAGCTCTGCAATAACCAGAGAGGTCCCATTTTGCCTTCTTAGAATCACTCCCTTTTAGTCACAACCCAGTTCCTTCCAATTGCTCTCCTGTGTGGGCTGAACATTTTTTTTCCCTCAAACTCCTCACTCAAACTTGGCTTTAACTTTAAACTAGTTAGACCACAGGTCACCGTACTATCACTCTAGGATTGCTGTATAGTGTGCAGAGGGGCTCTCATTAGCCTATGTTCTGATTAGTTGAAACCCAGCTGAGTTCTGGGTTTATCTGGTTGTGAGACAGTGACAACGTAAACTCACTTCCACTGTTTCTTGTCTTTTTCCCTTCTCAAAATAACTTGCTGATTGGCACAGGTTTTATTGAAAACAATCAACTTGATGTATTTTATAGAATTATTTATGCTTTAACATATTTTCTCCATCATGTGTATCATATATTTTTATTATATTAATAGTTGATATTATTTCTATTAAATACACATCTAATACAGAATAGTTTATTAGGTTTTTTCCTCTAAAATCATTTCCAACTACATACTACATACTTAATATTGGATCTATATATCCTCCCAAATTAAGGAAATACATTTCCCACTTAAACAAAATTGCCCATAACTAAAGAAAAAAAGATAGTGTTTCTTCTCATTGGTTTTAATTACAACTTTCCTCTTCCCTATAAAATCAGTTTACGATTTCGGAATGACATTAACTTTATTATACTATATCATTATAAAGGTGATTCCTGCTGATGGTAAGTTTAATTTCAATCATAGAATAGTACTATAGTGTCATATCTGCCATCTTGATTTATAGTATCTGTTTCAAATGCTTTCCTAATATTTTCTTACTTTCTATTTTTGATGTAATCTACATTATTTTTTAATGTCACCATACACTCTGCAAACACCAATACTGATTTGAAAAATGTATTATAACTTTATTATACTTTTAACAGTACTTGTTTGTATACCTTTATGTGCTTCTATTCCTTAATTTACCAATGTTAGAAATTTAAAAATAAAACAGCATTCATGTCTCTTTATGAAATAAAATATTTTAGGTACTTACCTTTCAGCTCTTGCCCCGAAGGCACATCATTTGTTGGTATGATCTTGAAGTTTTGTCCACAGCTCAAAAGGTAAAAAAAAAAAAAAGATAAATAAATAATTATAAATGTTATTTTATATTGCTTTATTCATCTATTTATAATATTGCATGTATTCTGTAATTATATTTATGATACTTATTTTTGTGTTTGAATGACTCCCATGCTCATTTTCAAACACATTTTAATAAAATTTTACTATTTGTAGATTCTTGTCTTGATCAATTGCTCAGCTAATCTGTAAAACTAAGAATCAAGTAGATTTTGTTTTAAATGTCAGTATTCTTTCAGTATGTTTTATATTTTAGAAGATATTCTAAATTGTCAGCACATAATAATTTGATGAGCTATGAGATTGTCACATCCATTTCAAAAATGTTCAGCTCTTCACTCATTTATTTATTCAAAAAATATTTGTGAAATTATATAACATATCAGGCAGTATTCCAGGAAGTGGAATTATAACAGTCTAGGGGTTGGGAAGAATGAATTAAATAAGAATATCACCAAATAAGTAAAATAACTATGTATTATATTGGGTGCTAATTAGAAAAACAGAGAGGGTAATAATAGAAAAAACTTAAGGTGATCAGGGAGGTAACATTTAGGCCACAGCTTAAAGGATAAAAATGAGACAGCTATGGGATAAATTATGAGAATGGAGTTTCAGGTAGAGGAAAAAGCCAGTCCAGTGCTTTGGCCCTTCCTATACTATATCAGGAAATGAAATACTATAATGGTAGACAGTTTAGTTATAGCAGAGTGTCAGAGAATAATCTGAGTGGGTAATTTGTATTTTGTTTCTTATGCCTGGAGAAGCTACTGAAGGGTTTTAAGCAAAGAGATATACTTTGATTTATGTTTTGTGTTTGTTTTTCTAAAGTTGAGACAGACTATTGTGGGAAGCAATTGATTAGAGAAGACAAATGCTTATTAAATAGTAAGACCATATGGATGGCCTTTTCCTTGACTACTGCATAGATGAACATGCAGAAACAAAGGGAAAACAAAATGGCCTTGAAGCATATTTTGAAAGTAGAATCCATAGGACTTGCTCAGAAATAACCATATAGAATAATTAAAAACGAGAAATCAAAGTTAAAAACATGTTCTCATTTAAGCATCTAGAAAACTAGTGGACCCATTATTGAAGTGAAAAAGATTGCAGAAAGATCAGATTTAGTGAGTAAATCAACCTGCCTTTGAAAAATTTAACTGGTCTACAGCCATGAGTATATAATTTTAATTCATCTTCAGGGACTAGAATTCTAAATTAGAATGATCTATTCCTCAAATCAGTAGGCCAGAGCAGAAGATATGGGTGTGATATGCCTGCAGGTCTGCTCATCCATTTATACTGTTTTATAACTAGAAAGTGATTTTTCTAATTCACCATTGTCTTTAGTGACATTTGGAGGAATATCTGAAATATGTATATATTTTTTCATATGGCTGATGTCTAATTCTTGCAACATTGCCCTATTTTCTTGTGACTGGGTGCGATACATTGGCTCTGCATAGGTTTCTTCTTTTTGATGTAAATTCTACCTACTATTGTACAGATATTTCAAAGTATGTGGTTGTCACTGTTTTCTAGTTTCAATGTTGATGAATATATAGTCTTTATTTTTGTTTATTTTTAAAATATTTCAGAAATTTTTTGGAGGGGACAGAGAATTAGAAGACAGTTCTTACTCTGCCATCTTTTTTTTAAAGTCCCAAATATCTATTCATTAAATTTATTTGTATATAGAACTATGTCGTTAATTTCAGGGCATGCATAAGAACAGGAATTTAAACTTAAACAGGTCTGTGACTATCAAATATGTTTGCCAAGGCCATTCATTGGAAAATGCCCAATCTGAAATATGATTACTAGAGTTAATTATGAGTAGTAGATCTGAAGTTAGAGTAGGTATTAGAAAGCTTTCCTTTAATAAAATTATTAAATTTTAGATACAAAATATCTCTATCAGCAGGATGTTATGCAGCATGGAGAACTCATTTTAGAAAATTTAATAAAATAAGTCCATAGAAAACATTGTCTTCATTAAAATACATTTTATAAATAGGCTTAATTATCCTCATTTCAAATAAGGGCTAAAAATTAAAATAGAATCACAAAACAAATTTTGAAAATATTTTTAGAAATTAGACATTTAATCTTTGCCCTCACAAGATAAGCCTTACATAGCTGAACAAAACAAAAACAATTTTCATATTTCAGAGATGATATTGCATCTTGATCCATAAATGGTATATGTGATTTGCCTAACAACTTTGCTTCAGGTAAAACCAAGAAACAGATAAAAAACAATATTGGTTTTAGTCTAAAAGGAATAAAAAATTTTAGAATTTTAGCCTTTCCAAATAAGAATTACCATTACTAGACTAATCCATTTTACACAAAGGAAAGAAACCAAGATCTACTGAGCACCAAACTTTGTGCTTGGAATATACATATATTATTTCATTTAATTCTCGTAATAACCTATTTTTCATCTTTCTTATGCAAGATATGAGTTATGTATAGAGAGATTGATTAATTTATGCTATTTAATATAATTTGGCCATGACAGAGCCCATTTTGTTTCATAACACCAAATTGGCTCAACAGTGCCTAAAAATGCAAAACTAGAACATGATGGTGTAACATTCTCATGTATTTATTTTATAAAGTAGTTGATCATAATACTGTGTTTTACATATGTAGATATCCATGACAAAAATGTGGTCCTGAAATAAAAGTATATAATAATAAAACTAAATCATAGTTACTAAATCAATTAATCAATGTATTAATACATTGATTTTCTTATTAATTAGAAGTGGCAAAGAATACAGTGATTATTTCATGAAGTTAAAGTAAATTTCTTGATTTTAAAGGTAAAATTTATAATACTTTATCATATTTTCATATTTTACAAAACATATGCTTCTCATAAAGGTCAGCCAGTAATTAAATCCAAGCTACATTTCTAATTCCTTTTTTAAGATAAGTCACAGTATTTTAAATAACTCTTTTCATGAAAAGTTGCCCATATATTTTTGTATTATAATCTTATGTTTTAGTTGGTCATACCCTTAGAAAATACAATATCACATTATAAATATAAATATAATTATGTAAAGTGTAATTAAAATTCTATAAAAAGAAAAACGCAATTTCTTCTCAGAAAGATAACAGAGAGCATTTTAACAGATAGAAAAAAATAATGTCATTTGAGGCTAATGCAAAAAAGGAAATAGTATTTATTTTTTAGCATCTTATAACATACATATTCTTTTTCCTAAGAACTTGTAGACTGATGTAGGTCCAAATGTTGGTAAACTAATCACTGGTGGGCCAAATATGCCATTAATTTTTGTAAATACAGTTTTATTGGAACAAAGTTATACCCCTTTGTTTAAATATCATTTATGATCTTTGTGGCTAACTGTGGCAGAGATGAATAGTTGTGACAGAGACCATATGGCCCAGAAATATTTGCTAAATGACCCTTTAGAGAAAAGTTTGCAGACTTGTAATGTAGGCTTGTGTTTTGTTTTTAACTAAAACTTTCCTTATAAGAACTTTATTTTACTTCTTCTATCACCTGAGAATAGCAGAAAACAATCATAAAACCAATTGCATGCCCCTTATATTCTCTCAACACAAATATATATCCAGGGCAGATTTCAATTTCATATAATGAAAATTATTTTACCATTGAAGATATTTGAATTAGCCAAATTAGGTTATATTGTAATTGTGCTGAATAATGTAATTATCAGATATCCTTTAGAAAAGCTATTCTTTTATTTTTCTGCCAGGTGAGTTTAATGCACTTTTTTTTAAATCAAATAAGAGTTGAAATTGTAGCTAAGATTGTATTTGTTTCCATAGTTACTGGTAACACAATATTAACTAATATTTTTAAATTGAAACTCTTCTCAAAAGTCTCCATCTACATATAATAAATACGTATTTGCACATATATAAATTTAGTAAGCAAAATTAATGATTCTTAATCTGATAATTGTTTTGTTCACCATATATTTATCACTGCAAAAATAATTTTAATTGTAAAATATTTCTAGGAATAAGGATACGAGTATAATTGAATCATTCATAGGGACATATATTATTAAATAAATTGTGACCATTTCATCTTGGACATAGGTGAAGCAAAGAAGCATCTTTCTGTAAGCTCTAGCTAAAAATCAGCCTCAAAGTGTTAAATTATTAGGAAGAATCCTTCTAAAAATAATAAAATAGACACATTTTATATTATAAAATCAACTTGTGATGATTGCAGCAAAACTTCTTGCTGAGTCCAATTTTTAATTTTATTCCACAAACATTAGTGGAATATCTACTCTGCAAAAATCATTGAGTATACACAATAAGAGAGTCAGTTTAATTACCATTTATTTAAAGAAAGCAAAAGGAAAGAGAGAAAATATTGTGGTAAAACAGAGATAATATGTTGTGATGCCAATTAAATGGCATGCATCCAACTCACTTCCAATATAAGATGTCTAAATTCCTCACAAATTATATTTAATACTGTTGATAACTCAATATAAAGTACAAATTTTATTTAACATGGTAAACAATTCAATATATTCCCAACTCCTACATTAAAAGACTAGAAGCTTCCTTAATTTTACATGTGTTTATTTTTCACTATAAAATTACAAATGGAACTTAGATTTAGTAAAGTGTTTGTTTTTCTGTGTCTCTGGACAGGAGCCAAAATTCCTAGCCTAGATTTTATCTCTTTCCCTGCAAATGATTTGGCATTGTGAAAGGAAGTAAAGTGAGCAGTGTAGAGCAGAGGCAGTGTTTTCTGACCCTCAGTTCCCCTTTATGAAGTATATTCCTTTCTGAGACTGTATTTCAAGCAAAGGCCAGATTCTCTCTTCAAGTACAAAAAAGTTCTATTTTAAAAATAGCAGCCCGTAACTCCTCTGATTGTTGTGTTATGGCCACCACTGCTGCCACCTCATGTACATCTATTCATGTACCTGAATGACATTCATGGCCTTGGCTTTAGTGTGTTTTTGCTGCCGTGAGCCACCAATGTTGAGTCAGACTACCCCAACGATATCACACAATTCTCTCTGTTAATGGAGACTGCCTTCTCCCACCATATATATATATAGCCATTTTCCTTATGAGGAAGCTGAAAATCTTACTTTTGTTACGTCAAGCGTTATTATCTCTTGCTAAACTCTCACTTTTCCATAACCCCTGCTGCTATGGACTGAATGTTTCTTTTCTTCTCTAAATTTATCTGTTAAAATCCTAGCTCCCAATGTGATGGTGTTAGAAGGTGAGACCTTTGGGATGTGATTAGATCATAAGCATAAAGCTCTCATGAATAGGATTAACGCTCTTATTAAAGAGACCCTAAAGAGCACTCTTGCCATCTTCCCAATATGTGAGGATACAATAAGGAGTCAGTAGTCAGCAACCTGGAAAATGGCCCCCACCAGATCTTAGCTATGCCAACACCCTGATCTGGGACTTCCACCCTTCAGAGATGTGAGAAATAATTGTTTGCTATTCATTAGCCACTGAGTCTATGATACTTTCTTACAGCAGTCCGAACTGACTGAGACACCCATCTGTCACAAATTGGCAAAAGTTTTATTTACAGCAAATTGAGAAATAATTTAACTGCCACATTAAAAATTTAAGCATTCAAACAAAATTCCTGGAGAAGTTAACACAGATTAATTTGTTTCTGTTTTAAAAGAATACCTTTCTTTTATGTGTCCTTCATCTTGGGAAGTAGTGAACTTCTGTTGTCTTTTTCTTCCAATATCATGTCACATGTTACTACCAATGACACACTCAACATTGCCTTGTAGGAATATCCTCTCCCATACAATAAGGTCCTACACTCTAGGTGGTGCTCTATCTCCAGCCCAGGGGTAAAGCATTTAGTGGTTTTCAATCTCTTTCTCTCTCTCGCTCTCGCTCTCGCTCTCGCTCTCGCTCTCGCTCTCGCTCTCGCTCTCGCTCTCGCTCTCGCTCTCGCTCTCGCTCTCGCTCTCGCTCTCGCTCTCGCTCTCGCTCTCGCTCTCGCTCTCGCTCTCGCTCTCGCTCTCGCTCTCGCTCTCGCTCTCTCTCTCTCTACACAAACACAGACACACACACACCCCACAGTGATTGGCTCAGAGGTAGAAGTTTATGCTAAATCCATCGGTACAGTGGGGATGTGTGGGGGGGACTTTATCAGGAAGAGAAAGTCTCCTTGAATGCTGCTTTTGAACCCAGGAGGCTATGAGCATTGAATTGCTTAGGTCACTATACAAAGTAAGAGAAAGAATATCCCACAGGGAACAGCACTTAGAGAATCATAGAACCTATGTCCTCATAATATAGTTTGAATCCTGAATATAATGGTTCTGAAATTAGAAGTAAATACAGATGTTTTCATTTTCAACCAATTATTTTTTTTTCCTACTTAATCCTGTTAGATTATGTCACTTGAAATTGAAAGATTTTAAAGCAGATATTAAGGAATAAATTTTGTCTCTCTGCTTGATAGTCACTAGAATCCCTTCAGGAATTCCATTACATCAACTGTATGTGTGTGTGTATAGTGGGGTGATTTGTAATATAAGCTCATTTCTGTATAAAATATTATACTCATACCATGATTAACTATTGTACCCTTGTTACATCATTGAACTAGGAGTTGTAAAGAGATGGGCATGATCAATTCTTGAGAATCAACATAAGCCATCTTAGTGCATGACATAAATAGTATCTTCATTCCTGTCTGATTTCCTGAACTCTCTTAGTGCTTAGCTCTCTTAGTGTTCTCTCAAGATTTTGCAGAGTTTTAAAATTAACTAGGTGAAATTCTGGTTTCTAGTCTGGCATCTAAGTTGCTTATAAGTTGCTACTCAATCATAACAACAAATAAAAAGATGAACAAACTTAAAAACCAATAGCTCTTCTTAGATCCAGCAGAGAAGTAAGGTCACAGCATAAACCACTGACCCCAAAATTGGAGAGACATACAGACAGATACAGAGAATCACAACTTATCTGAGAAGATATCCTGGATCAGAAACCTCTGTAAGAACCAGTGGCAGAGTAGAAAAATCAGAACTGTAACTGACAAAATGTTGGAGGCACGGTGTGGCCAACTCTAAGAGTTAAAAACTCCAGGAGGCCCTGTAATCTGGAGGTAGCCACATTATTTATTTATTTATTTATTTATTTTTGAGTTTTACTTGCAGAAGTGCTATCAAATCCTCACAGTAAATATTAGAGAAAAATACCCTTGTGTTATTGGTATGAGGAGGTGAAAAGTAATAATTTTGAAATATGCCACAGAATTCTTTTTTTCTTAACAAGGCCTGTGCTCAGAGATTAATCTATGGAGTTTCTATCACTGCCTAACTGACCTGGGGCAAGAAATAATTTAACTCTAGTTACCTCTATCTTTCCACATGCAGGAAGGGAAATATTAAATATACAATATCTGACCATTCTAGCCATCCTGTCCCATATAAAGTGAGGGAGAACTGAAAAGCACTAGTGAAATTCAGTCTAGGGGCACAGGCTTACTAAGAGACTGAGAACTAATCATAGGACAATAGAAAATGTCTTCTCTCCTGACAACTTAACAATACATTACTAAAGACATATTTACTACAGTTTCTTTTACCTAGTATGCCATGCCAAACTTTCACCCCAAAATTATAAGGCATACTTATAAACAAAAAAAACAAAAAACACAAAGTTTAAACAGACTATATAAGATTCAGAACCAGAGTCACATACAATGGGAATATTTGAATTTTTATCAAAAATTTTTTAAAAAATCCAACTACTATAGGATTAATATTCCAAGAGCTTTAATGAAAAAAAGTAAGTAATATGTAAACAGAAGAATAATATAAGCAGAGAGATAAAAATTCTAACAAATAATCTAAAGTAATGCTAGAAATCAAAGATACTGTAACAGAAATTAATAATATCTTTCATAAGCTCATTAATAGACTGGACATGGCTGAGGAAAGAATCTCTGAGCTTGTAGATGTGACAATGGAATTTCTCAAAACTAAATATCAAAGAGGAAAAATGCTGAAAAAAATCCCCAGAAAAATCTGGGAAGGATATATATTTACAAAATAGGTGTGATGCGCACCACCTGGGGGTTGGACACACTTGATGTTTTGGCAAGCTGGGGGCAGGAGAAGGAATGGCAGGAGCAATATATGTAACCCTAACAATATTTGTACCCCCATAATATGATAAAATAAAAGGAAAAAAATCTGAAAAATCTAAGCATAATATTCAAGAACTGTGGGACAATAAAATGTATAATGTATGCATAATGAGACTATCAGAAGGAGAAAAAAGTAAAATGTACAAAAGAATTATTTGAAGCAATAATAACTGAGATTTTCCCAAATTAATGTTAGATACGAAACCACAGATCCAGGGAACTTAGAGATGAATACAAAGGAGGATATATGGAAAAAAAAAACAAAAAAAAAAACCTACAGGTCAGCATATTTTAAACTACAGACAATGAAAGATACAGACAAAATTGTGAAATAAGTCAGAGGGGAATAAAAAAACACTTTGCCTATAGAGGAACAAAGATAAGAATCACATACAATTTTTCCTCAAGCACCATACAAACGAGAAGAGAATAGACTAAAATATTTGAAGAGTTAAGAGCAAAAAACAAAACAAAACAAAACCAAGACAAAATAACAATTTAGAATTATGTACTCTACAAAATTATTCTTTAAAAATGAAGGAGAAAGAAATATTTCCTCAGACAAACAAAAGTTGAGAAAATTTCCTGTCAGTAGATATGCTTTATAAGAAATGTTAACAGAAGTTTTTTAGAAAGAAGGAAAATAATATAGGTCAGGAATGCATATCTACATAAAGAAAGGAAAAGCATAAGAAAATGAATAAGTAAAGGCAAAACAAAAAAATTTTACTTTTCTTATCCTTAATTGATTTAAGAGCTAAAAACTATCCAAAATAAAAACAGAAACAGTGCATTCAATTATTTATTACTATATTTATATCTGCTCATGTACAAAAGGGATGGTAGCAATGATAAAACAAGGGATAGGAGGGAAGAATTAGGAAGATTTTGCTATATAGGTTACTTACACTTCCTGTGTAGTGGTATGATGTTATCTGAAAGTTAGCTTGGATTAGTGGTAAATGTATATTGCAAACTCTAGGACAACCACTTTAAAAAGTAAAAAAAATAAAATATAATTGTGATGATAAAAAGATAAAACAGACGGGGTGGAGCAAGATGGCAGATGAGAAACACTGCCAGAAAGAGTGTCTCTGCAGAAAAGACAGATTCTAGCAGAAATTAGAAAAAAAGAAGCGAGAAGACGAGCATACAGCGGACGAGGGCCAGAAGGAGGGGTACCTGAGACCCCGGGAGACTCCACGGGAGGAGGCTGCGAAGAACTGGAGGCTGAGACCACCGTAGCAGCCCAGAGACCAGCGGCAAGGGTAGGTGGATTTGCTGTTTCCCATCCCCTGCATTTGGGACTGCTGGTGGGATCCCCAGTGGGTGGAGAGACCTGCGGACACCAGCCCAGAGATGGCCGCCCCCAGACAGTGGTGAGCCTGTAGCAGACGTGGCACCAGGTTCCCAATTACCTCCAGGAACCTCCGTGTGCACAGACCCGAGCCGCGCGGCAGGCGCCATATTGCCTCCTGCTCCCCACCGCCGACCCTACCTGTGGCTGCCCTAGAGACAATACAGCCACCAGCCAGAGGCACCTCCAGGGAATGGGGACCTTCCCTTTTGGGACCCTACAGCTGACTCAGGGGAACTCAGACAGTGAGCTCCCTACCCGCCAGCTATCCCAGGTGCTGTTGGCACGGTGTTCCCAAGAGAATGGTGCCGACTCAGAGGCTGAGAGACATAGACCCAGCTTGGGCTCCCTGTGGGTGAATTGGGACCGGAAAAATTAAAGAGACATGTTGGCCTGCGCATGCCATGTGGAAAATGTAGACGTGCGCGGTGCAACAGTTTCCCTTATTCTACTGCGTAGCCAGTCACCTGAGCCGACCCCGAGGCTCAGAGGAACGCAAGAAATTGCCTCTGCTGACAGCTCTTTTCAGGTCAGAAAATCAGTTGTGGTCCTGTGCGTGTTGGCCTCCAGGTTCCAGCAGCCCTCCTGGGCTGCTCTAGACCTACAAGGCTCTGAGAAGAAACACTCACATCTCAGCTACCTCCAGTGCTTTGGCAGAACAAATCGAGAGCCAATTGGGAGTGGAATAGGCAACTCTCCTCGGAGGACGGTGACCAGGAAAGTCTGGAGGTGCACTCTCTAGCTCAGCCCCAATCATAATGCGCAGGTGTCCTGCTCTCTGAAGAAATTTCCTGTCAGTAGATATGCTTTAAAGAAATGTTAACAGAAGTTTTTAGAAAGAAAATATATATAGGTCAGGAATGCATATCTACATAAAGAAAGAAAGCATAAGAAAATGAATAAGTAAAGCAAAACAAAAAAATTTTACTTTTCTTATCCTTAATTGATTTAAGACTAAAAACTATCCAAAATAAAAACAGAACAGTGCATTCAATTATTTATTACTATGCACTATTGAGGTACGCTCTGGCCGGCATTGCCTGCGAGTTTTCTACCCCATACTAGGCCGACAGCCTTGCGTCGCGTTTTCCGCAAAGGAATCGAGTGTCCCAAAACACCAGGAAATAGATGGGTGCAGCTTGAGTGAGGAGGAGAGCCCATACCTAAGAGCCAGCTCCCCCCAAGCCGAGAGAGGTTTTGCTATTTAGTGATTAGCCATGCCCTTCCACATCTCCCACACTGCCGCCTCTGCAGCCCAGGGCTTGCGGGTGTCTCTGCTGATCTAAAACTCTTTCCTCTAGGGGTTAAAACATAAAAGCCAGGATTATAAGCCAGCGGTATTCATGCCCAAGGCTCAAATACACCAGACGCCTTTAGGAAAGCCCCTTCCCAGTGTGTGTTGCCGCTGGC